AACAAGATATGCATCGATAGCAGCACATCGAGGTTACGAATTAGGAAGAAAAGATGATGTTGAATCAATGTTTTATGTTATGATATATCTCTTAAAAGGGTAGAGAGAACTTTCTTTATATTAGTAAATTGCCTTGGTAAAATTTACAAAATATTGGAGATAGAGATCGAACTGATGTTGTAGGTGAAGTTAAATAGAAGACAGAAATATCAGAATTATGTAAAGATGTTCCATCTGAATTTGCTGAAATATTTAAGTATTCTAATTAATATCTATTAGTTATTTAAAAAAGTTAGAATTCAAATCTGAACCAGATTACAAATATATGTTATCTCTTATACTTAAGGCAGCCACTAATAATCATATAATTCTAGATAAATTATTTGAATGGACAGATCGGCAAACCAAAATAAAAGATTAAATGATTTGGGCTTTGTCTGAAGAAAAATAAAAATTACCATAAATGAATAGTTCATAATAAATTATGGGTTCAAACAATCTTCTCAAACCTCCTGAAGCAATGAGAGCTACAGGAGGATCTCCAATTCGGATGGAATCTAAACATCTCACAAGTACATCAATTTAAGGTTCATTGTCATCAATGATGATAAAATATATACCATCTTAAGTTGAAAACACTAGTATGTGTAATCAAGATGATAAGAGATCAAAAAGTAAAAAAAGCAAACGAAGTAGAAAAAGTGCTAAATCTTCTAAACGTTAATCAGTCATTTTTCATAGTGGAGTATAAATTATTGAACCTAAAGATTAACTTAGAGTAACTAAATATTCATTTTGTAGAGACATAAAACTATAGATTCAACTTGGGGATTTTAATAATGTATGAATGAATTCAGTGGAGATGAGGATTCATAAAAACTATCCAAAAAATATCATTAATTGTAGGCTTGCAGTCTTCATCCAAAGAAAATACCCAAAAATACTTCTAAATTATGATATTATTTAAAATATGTGGTATGCTTAAATACTCAACTCACTAGAAGTTGATGATTTCTTCGAAGAATTACTCCAATCATCTTTAATCCATCTCTATAAATGATTTTTCTAAAGGATATCAATTAATACTTACAGAATTTACTAGATATAGCATATCATTTTATGTCTAAAAATTAATTGCCATGCATCCAATTAATTATTTAATATCTTCAGCTCCTTAACCAAGAAGTTTATACCTACTCTAACTTATGGGTTTTATAGAATTTAGAAATTACTTATCAAATTAAGATCAATCACTTCACAAAAGCTAAATCTCATCTGTTAGTATTAATTGATGAATCATAATACTATAATATTGAAGGTACTGTCTCTTAAATTTATGAATCTGCCTAAACTCTTTATCACTTTTTTTCCTATAGATAATCAATCTAAACAATAAGCATTATAAGCAATTCTTAAACTATAATAACTTATTATTAAATCTTTAGAATCTAAATTAAATAAAAAGGTCCATCTATTAATAGCCAAATGATATAAAAGAAAGGCTTAATAAGAAAAGAGTTCTTATGAATCCAATCAAATTAGAAATTTGATAATTAGTGATTAGGCAAGTCTTATGAGAGTTATCGATAATAATAAACTAAAAGAATTTACAATATTGTTTTTAATCCTTAAATGTATATTTAATTTATGAGACATTGAGAATGAAATTATAATCTACAATTTATAAAGTTTATCCGTCTTTTTAAATGAATTTTACAATGTAATTAGCTAACAAATAATACTCAAAGAAATTTTGATAATATCAACAAATATTAAGGTTTGGAATCTTTTGAAAAATAAGTTTAAATTATTTAATAAACTCGTGGACATTACTTTGCTTATTTCGCAGAGTAACTAATTGAATATATATAATGAATCAGCACATCATCTATTGATTTAATGATTATATTTATCAATTTAAGTGTAGATTAATTTCAATAAATATATCTACATAAAATAGATACTATCCATTGTTTCATTTAACTCTCTGGTTTATTATAATAACTTAAAAGATTATTAACATTTATTATTTTGATAAAAAACTAATTGAAATAATAACATCTTAGATTTCATTTAAAAACCCGAGAATAGTTTGTAGCAAATTTATTTATTTTAATAAATAATCTATAATACTTCATATGCATTAAAAAGTAATTAAATAGTAAATCAACAAAGAAGTTTATAATTATTGATTATCCTCTCTATTCCTCTTTTCTTCAATAATAATAATTATTATATAAAAAATAATTTCAATTTGAATTTTTATCAATTTCATAATAATTATCATTAATTAAATAAAAAACCTTCAATGTAAATGAATAATTATCTTAATTAAATATTAAATTAGAACAAAAATCTAGAAAGAAAAGCAAAAATATGAAAATAATAACCAAAGCTATTCTAAAAAATAAATTATTTCTTCAACTTCTTTTATGGGATATTTTATATAAAATTTTAAGAGTTTAATACTAATCAATTTTTTAATGAATTTTATCTTTTTTTAAATTAATCTAAATAATGAGTCTTGTTTATAATTAATTTAGAATATTTAAAGTTTAAGAAAAAGAATCATAATCAAAATCATATCGATTTAAATTGAAACTTCATCAATTCTAATTTCTATAAATAAATATAAAAATTATGATTTAAGATTATAATTATTTTAATGAATTAACTATACTCTTAGTTTATTATTACTTTGAATGCTCTAAGAATAATCATTATTTAAAGTGAAATAGAAATCATTATTTTTCATATATATCAGTTACCCAATCAATTAGACGACAACTATCAATCCATCTTTATTCTTTTGAATTGCAATTAAGAACTACAAGGATATAACTGTGTTTTCTACTAATAAAATGACTTGCCAAACATGGACCAGCATCATTAGTTACTCCTGTTTTAATACCTGTAAAACCTTGTTCTAAAAGTTTATTTGTGTTTTCCCATTTTAAGATACGTGTTTAACCTAAATTAGTAACAGTACAAGAGTATTCTTTAGTTCTAACAATTTAAGCAAATAATGGTAATTTCATTGCATAATAACATAATTTAGAAACATCATATGCAGTTGATCTATTTAATCTATTTGCAAGACCATGAGGATTAGTGAAATAAGTATTAGAAAGCCCTAATTTTTAAGCAGTTGAGTTCATTTCAGCTACAAAATACTATGCAGGATTATTCACATGTATAGTATTATTATCATTATCAATAGAATCAATTTTTTATTAGAAATATTTAGATTAAAAATAAAGATAGACTCCAAAATTTTCAGCAATAGCTTAAGCAGAGTCATTTCCTGATGGTAACATTAATCCATGCAAAAGATCTAATAAAGTAAGAGTATCTCCTTCTTGTAAATTAGAAGATGTTCCACCTATTTATGTTGCATAATCTGAGACAGAAACCGTGACTTATGTTGGATCAATTTTAAGTTATTCACAAACTTTTATAGTAACATAAGCTGTCATAGTTTTTGTGATGGAAGCAATTTCTCTATTAGAATGTTCATTTTTTCCCCAAATCAATCTACCAGTCTAAGCATCTAGTATGACCCAAGTATGTGCAGAAATGGAAGGAACAGTAATTTCATCTAAATTATTTGAACTTTCTTACATCTTCTTGGTGGTGTTTCACTTCTAATAAACTATGAATTTATAATTTATACCCGAATTTTTATCGTCTTACTTCATTCCACCATTATGGCCAATCATCATATTATTGATTCATTAATTTATTATTGTAATTGATTTAGAATAACTAACTAATTGGTATGCATAAATATAAAATAATTTGATATAAAAAACTATTCTAATTATGGGAAGTTGTTAAAGTGCTCCTTGTATTGCAGATGATTTAATTACAATGGATTCAAGTGCTTGCAAATAAACAGATAATCCCATCAAGGAAGAAATCCTTCCTTAATATGATGAGAACAAAATCATTATAATACAGGCTTATTATAGAGGACACAAAGTCCGTAAATCAATTATGCCTACTATTTCATCTCCAGAACCTTCTGCTCCAACTTAACCAGACAATCCAAAACTGTGTTTTGATCCTTCCCTCATATAAGAGAATGATTAATCTATAATTATGAAAAATGGAGCTATCTATACTGGGATGTGGAAAGATGGTAAAGCTAATGGAAAGGGAAAATATTAATTCCATGATAGGTAGTTACTATTTTTTATTTTCTAGTTACATTGAAGGAACTGTAATTTTAATTCAATATATTTTTTAGTGGATTGCCAATGAACTTCAAGGTGATGGAGTATATGTGAATTCCAATGAATCATATAGAGGATAATGGAAAGATAATATGTTCCATGGTTAAGGGGAATTTAGGTATTATGATGGTCGTATTTATACAGGTATCCAATTCTTACATTTAGGTTAATGGAAATAAGGAATCTAACATGGAACAGGTAAAGAGATCTATAAGGATAAATCTATATTTGAGGGAAAATTTAAGAATGGAATGAAGTGTGGCTTAGGCATTTTTCAGTTGGCTGATGGCTCAGTATATTAAGGTGAATTTTAAAACGATTTATTTCATGGATACGGTTCATTTGTAAATACTATTTATTAAGTAGACTTGGCCTGATAAAGTCAAAGTTTTTGAAGGTTACTGGAAAAATGGATTAAAGAATGGTAATGGTTAAATGAAATGGGGAGATGGTATTATCTTTTGTTAATTTTTAAATTTAGGTCGTATATATTGTGGTTAATATTTGGATGATATTAAACATGGATATGGAGAAATGCAATATGCAGATGGTCGAATTTATAAAGGATAATGGAAACAAGGCCTTTAGGATGGTATAGGCTAATTTTTAGACAAAGAAGGGATTGTCAAAAAGGGCTTTTGGATTAAAGGTAAATTAAAAAAGTGGCTATGAATTAAAAAACGAATTTTGATTTTCAATCTCTTCTAATAATATATTAATAAGTATTAATAATATAAAAATAGAACAAGGAAAAATAGATCTTATTCAAATTTTCAATACTAATTTTTTAGATTTATATACCTCCTCATAAGATTAGTAGTCATCATCAATTTAATCTTCATCCAATAAATCATCAGGCAATATCTTCTATTATTGTTATTATTATTATTATTATTCTAAAATTTCTTAATGGTTTTGTCTATATAAAATTTAATAAAATTTAGATACGCAGCTTAAGCTAATAAAACATCCATCATATTTATTCTTAATTTCTCTTTGGATATCATTTAATTGTTTTTTTTCTTCATTTATGGTTAAACAAAGTTAGATGCTAAACTAAAATAACAACTTATCTCAGTTGCTTATTCTTTGCCTTTATAATCAAAACTGCTTTCTTCAGAATCATTTATTCCTACATATAAATATAAGAATTAGTACTTGAATCATCTGCTAATAAAGAATCACATAAGTTTAGCTATTATTTATAATTATCCTCATATTATGATAAGATTTAAAGATGATATTTAATTTAATCTTAAGAATTAATTTTTTATTTAGGAGTTTGAAGTTTATTAAGAGAATTAGGTTAATTTTAAGTATTTATATCTATATGTAAGTTTCCTTCTGTTTGATCTTGATCTTCTTATTCTGCATTAGAGATAAATTATTAGAACATTCTATTATAATTTTTTAATGATTTACTCTAATATGGAACTATCACCAACTCTTTTTAAGAATACTTTGGTTAATTGCTCTCTTTGTAGTAACTTTTATATAGCTTCAAATTATCCTTGTACTAAATTTTTCAATTCTAAAATTTCTATATGTATTAGAAATCTCTACCTGTATCATTTTAACTTATATGATTATTCTATCTAATTTAAGTTGATAATGTATTAATTTATTATTATAAATTAACAATTATTTCATCTTAAGACTTTTTAATTTCTAATAACTAATTATGTTCAGATAATAAACTCTCATGCTTCTTTTTTATTGAAATAAGTATGCTCTCAATTTTCTTCTTTTCCATTTATTATTATAATTATTATTGTAGAATCTAAATTTATCTTTTAAAGAAATGATTAATTTATATAGTATGATTTATATCTTAATTTGAATTTGGCTAAATGTTTTACTAATCTCTAAATATAACTGCTAATAATTAATTTAGTGCTTAATTAAATTTAATCATAAATGTAGTTTCTTTTTAATCCTATTACATATAATTCTCTCTATCTTGTAAAAGAGATTTGATCTTTTCTTTTATCTTTTGAATTTGAGTCTAATCACATGAAATANTATAAAAATAGAACAAGGAAAAATAGATCTTATTCAAATTTTCAATACTAATTTTTTAGATTTATATACCTCCTCATAAGATTAGTAGTCATCATCAATTTAATCTTCATCCAATAAATCATCAGGCAATATCTTCTATTATTGTTATTATTATTATTATTATTCTAAAATTTCTTAATGGTTTTGTCTATATAAAATTTAATAAAATTTAGATACGCAGCTTAAGCTAATAAAACATCCATCATATTTATTCTTAATTTCTCTTTGGATATCATTTAATTGTTTTTTTTCTTCATTTATGGTTAAACAAAGTTAGATGCTAAACTAAAATAACAACTTATCTCAGTTGCTTATTCTTTGCCTTTATAATCAAAACTGCTTTCTTCAGAATCATTTATTCCTACATATAAATATAAGAATTAGTACTTGAATCATCTGCTAATAAAGAATCACATAAGTTTAGCTATTATTTATAATTATCCTCATATTATGATAAGATTTAAAGATGATATTTAATTTAATCTTAAGAATTAATTTTTTATTTAGGAGTTTGAAGTTTATTAAGAGAATTAGGTTAATTTTAAGTATTTATATCTATATGTAAGTTTCCTTCTGTTTGATCTTGATCTTCTTATTCTGCATTAGAGATAAATTATTAGAACATTCTATTATAATTTTTTAATGATTTACTCTAATATGGAACTATCACCAACTCTTTTTAAGAATACTTTGGTTAATTGCTCTCTTTGTAGTAACTTTTATATAGCTTCAAATTATCCTTGTACTAAATTTTTCAATTCTAAAATTTCTATATGTATTAGAAATCTCTACCTGTATCATTTTAACTTATATGATTATTCTATCTAATTTAAGTTGATAATGTATTAATTTATTATTATAAATTAACAATTATTTCATCTTAAGACTTTTTAATTTCTAATAACTAATTATGTTCAGATAATAAACTCTCATGCTTCTTTTTTATTGAAATAAGTATGCTCTCAATTTTCTTCTTTTCCATTTATTATTATAATTATTATTGTAGAATCTAAATTTATCTTTTAAAGAAATGATTAATTTATATAGTATGATTTATATCTTAATTTGAATTTGGCTAAATGTTTTACTAATCTCTAAATATAACTGCTAATAATTAATTTAGTGCTTAATTAAATTTAATCATAAATGTAGTTTCTTTTTAATCCTATTACATATAATTCTCTCTATCTTGTAAAAGAGATTTGATCTTTTCTTTTATCTTTTGAATTTGAGTCTAATCACATGAAATACTATTGCTATTCTTTATTTTAACACTTGAATTGGGTCTATGAAAAGATGAGTTTTTAGTAAGTTAAGGTGATTATTACTCTATTTAAATCATGGATTGATTCTTTCTTAATTTATGAGATATCTTCACTGTATCAATTAATTCATTGTTAAATAAACTTTAATTTTTAGGTTTCGTCTGTTAGCCTGCCATTACATTTAAAATGCTACATAATTTTTATTAGGACACTTATATTGTTGGGTTTATGAATGTTCTATTTACTTTCAATAAATTTTCATATGATTTTTATCTTCCAACAGCAGGACTATTATTATTCGAGATATTTTAGGATTGACTTTCAAATTACTGTTTTGAAGACACTTTAGTCAATTTCTTCTCTAAGATTTTTCCATGTAATTTCATCATCTATGATGCATATATAGCAATTTTTTCATTCTCACTTAATTTTTTCATTGTAATTTTGTTTGTTGAGAATAATAAATGATGAATTTATCAAATTCTTCAATATATAATCATTTATTAATAATATACATATACTTTTGAGTTTGATCTATTATGATATTATATGTTATATAAAATTGAAAAACCAAAGTCAATTAATTAATTTTCGAGAAGCAAATAATTACTTAAATTAATTCAAGTTTTCTTCCTATTTTAGTTAGATATCAATCATTTAATCTAATTTCTTGATCATCTAACTTCGCTCCTAAAATTAAGTTTGCTCCCTCTTACTTATAATTAGTGCTTTTTATCTAAATTTAATTTCTTGACACTCTTGCTCAATTAATAATGCTAATTTTCTAATTGTTCCTATTTAGTCTATAAATCTTTAATCTAATTAGCCAAACTTTCAATTTTCTTTTCAATCCCCTCACAAACAAATTCATTATTCTATTTTCGATCAGTTGGAGATTTCAGTAGATGATCTTAATGCATCATTTTCTTGGCTGTCTAAACATTAGTTTGGCATCGACTTTGTGGACTCAATGAATGTGTTTTTTTGATGTAATTCTTAAAAGATTTAAGAAAAGCAATAATCTCTTAAGGTGTCTGTACTTTTCTTTATTTCATCTTTAATAATTTTATTGTTAATTAACTAGAGTAAAAACTATTTAACATTCATCTTAGAATGACTAAAATAATTAAAATCATATTTTAATATATTCGATAAAAATACTAAATAATTTTAGAATTATTCTAAGTCTAATTTTTAATACCTTTTTCTTCATTTATAGAATTCTTCATTAATTAATTGCCATAAAAAATTATGATTAATTATAATAGTTGATTAATGATATATAATTGGATGTAGATGTAAATGCTAAATAAGCAAAATTAGAATAAATATATGAATAGTATTTATACTATTACATTTAAATTATATAATCATTTAATTTTCTAATCAATAATATTTCCATATTATTCTATATTATAATTTAAAACATTTATTTTTCAATCTAGAAGATTAAACATAAATTAACTTTACTATATTTTTTCTTTTTTTTTATTATTTTGTTTTAAGTTTTAGAATTTTTGATAACTTTTTTTCTTTTAATTTATAAATAACTATATATTCACAATAAATATTAGTAGTTTCATTTAGTAAATTTAATTAATTGATATATCTGTATATATAATATTATATCTCTTTATTTAAGTGTATCAAAACTAATAATATTAGTTTTTCTAATTAATTAAAATATTTATTATTGTAGAAGTAAACTAATCCATGCAATAATAACATATTTAATATAATCTTTAATTGCCAAGTTCTTTCAAATAATAAAATTTCTACTAAGTAACAGTTGAATAGGTTGAATTAATAGTAAATGGATTATGATGTATATTGAGTAATTTAAGTTGTAAAAATTGTTTAATTTTATTAACTTCATTAATATTTTGAATTAGATTTTGATGTATAGAAAGTGTACATAATTAAGCAAATTATTCAATTCAATTCAAATATTAAATGCAATTATGAGATAAACATAGAGTTATAATATAGATAATAGAATTAAAATAATCTATTTCTCTTTTGTTCTAATAATTAATAATGATTTATTTTTGATTCTTATAAGGTATTAATTTTTAAGACTTCAATAATTTGCATTTGAAATTTATATTAATAATTTTATAAACTGGTATATGAATTTCAAGATCATTTTCTTCTTTTTTTCTTTTTATCATCCAAATATGGATGTTCTTTTGCAAAAGAGTACATAGATTTCAAATTAAGTTATTTTTTTTCAATGTCCTTATGATTTAGTTAACAAACTTATTGCACTTCATTATTGTATATTATTGATTAGAGTTCCAATGAGTTATCACAATATTTTAATGACATTTCATTATTTGGAATTATACTTTACTCTTTCAATTTAGCTGATTTTATAAATAGTTTTTTTAAAGATTTATTTAGATCCTGATAAAGTTATAATATAGAATTTGAATATGGATAGGGAGTCTTAGTAATATGTTCAAGTGCATCTAAACATTCTTTTATTTCTCTTTGTAATTCTGCAAGCCTGTCTTCATCATTTTAATACATTGTAAAATTTATCAAAATTTATTATTATTATTAATTAAATTATACTCAAATAAGCCCATTTTTCGATGAGATTGCAAATTAAAGAACATTTTGTCTTTGTAAAATGTGCATCCACTACATTACCCAAAAAAATCAATTATTTAATATAACTTTGTATTCTACACATCAACTATCTAAACAAAATCTTCACCTTCAATGCATATCAATTAACCTTAATTATTATATTAAATATTATAAAAGGGTTTTGAGATTGCATCCACTTTATCATAAGGAGTTTCTAATTTTCTCAAATCCCATATTATACATTATTTATCCTCACCAGAAGTTGCTACTTTCTTTTCATTAATGGGATCAAATTATGCAGCAAAATTATTGCATTAATGTCCTTATAAAGAAAAGATAGGTTTCTTTTATCTTCTATCATGACCAATTACTAAGGGTTAATCTAAACAAGCTATAATTAAATCTTATTTAATTGCACAATGATTAACACAATGAGAACCTTTTATTATTGAGATTATTTACATAATGCTAAATATTTTTCTTGGTTTAAATTATCAGCATCAAAAATACGAATTTGATTATCATTGTCACTTATTATAATCTCCTGATCATTTATGAAATCAGCTTAATTAATTATGCATTCTTAGTTAAGATTCAATTTTTATTCTTATGTATCACCAGTTTTCAATGAAAAAAATAGTATATTTGATTACAAACCAGCCCTTACTTTATATTTAATATTTACAATAATATTTTATCCTCATATTGACTTATTCCTACAATATTAAAGTCTTAAGAAATCGTATAAATCGATTATTTATAGCTACATGGATTGTAAAAACATAATCTATTATAGCTAGTATAAATAAGCAAATTTGAAAATTAATTATATAGTAAACATTTTCTTAATTAATAATGGGTAATCTCATTTGCTTTTGTTTAATGGAATTTAGCAAATTAGTAATATTGATAATTAGCACGTCTAAATTTAATTATATTTTCAACATTCCTACTAGAGAAGTAACTGTCTCTCAACTAATCCCTATGAGTTTTAGTATGATAAAGGATTCCTTAACTGTCTTCATTATCTTTAAGCATGTTACAATTTATCACATCAATATCAATTTACTACATTATATAATTTTAAATTATAATTAATATAAAAAAATTACTTAACAAATAGTTAACATTCTGAATAATATACAAATAATTTTTATAAATTGATATAAAATTAAACTTAAATTTAAAAGAAAACAATATGTTATAGATATTTGAAAATAAGATTAAAATGTCTTAAAATATGAGATAAAATGATTAAGAAATTATGATTATATTATATGTATAAATATATAAGGTTTAATAAATTGATTAATTATGAAGATGTTAATGGATTATATAATTGATATTAAAGTCTCCATATCTTGATAAATCTTTTTATTTCTTGTAACGTATAAGATACACTAAGATTTATCGAATTCAACACTGAACTAATTTAGTAATTAAATAACAAAGGTAATTGTAACAAATTTATCTAATTTTTTATAAATTCAAGAATCAAAGGTTTGTTACTTTGATTATACAATTAATTATGATAGATAAATATAATGTTAAAGATAAGTTGAATATAGAGTTTGGGTTTAGAACATTAAAATTTGAATGATTATTAAATAAATGTTTCTTTTTTTACAATTATATAATGATTTAGAATAGTTGATAATTAGAGAATAGTGATTGTAATTGTTCAGATTATCTTGAAGAGGTAAATATGATTAGAGATAATATAATGAATGAGTTTTTAATTAAAAACAAAAACGTATTAATGAGGATGTGGAAATAAATTGAAAAACGGGTATTTTTTAATGTCTTGGAGAGTGATTGTGATTTCATTTCATTAATATTAATAACATGAGAATCGTCCCTGTATTGACTCTTATCTTCGCAGTCGCAACTGCTAGAGTGACAAAGACAGAAAGCCCAAAGGAAGTGTTGGCTTAAATTAACAAGGATTCATTTGGAAATTCAGTGTTGTCAGTCCTTTAACTTTAATTGGCAACAGGTGGACCTGTAGGTGAAATATAAATTCTCTTAAACAATATTGCTTCCCAACTTAATGGAGATTAAAAGAAAGCTGACAAAGTTCATGAAAGTGATACAGTTGCTTTCGAAAAGGTTAGTATTATTCAATTAATTTTGTTTAGATTATTGCTGACTTAGAACAAGAAATTGCTTATCATGAAAGCTAAATTGTTGCTCTTTCAAATTTGAGAGATTCAACAACTGAAGCTTTAGAAGAAGCTGAAGTTGAAGTTAGAGTTGTTACTTCAGATATTGCCAATAACGAAAAAAGCTTTGCTGATGAATCTGCAACAAGACAATCATAACATGAAACATGGGTTAGAAAGGATGCAGAACATGTTGATTAAATGGATGCCATTGATGAAGCCTCAAAGATTGTTTAACATTTATAAGCTGGTGTTGCCTTTGCTTAACTCAAAAGTAGATTTGAAAAAGTCTAAGCCAAATTGATGGAATCTAAACATGCACTCTTCAAAGTATTCATTTTAATCTAAATTCTAGCCACTCATCAATGCTTTGACATAATTAGCTTCAAAGGTTGATAACAAGAGCATCATCAAAATATTAGAACTCTTAGCTTAAATTAGATAATAATTAGTTGCTAGTAGAGCATCCTTACTTGCAACAGAAGAAAGACAAGCTGCTAATTGGGAAGTTTAAAGTGGCCATTTATAAGAAGAACACAAGAGATTAGTAGAAAGAAAGGCCTTTTTAGAAAACTCAATTGTTTAATTCAAAGTGACTATCTAAGAAGCTGTTGAAGATTTAGAAGATCAAACTGTAAATATTAATATTAATTTAATAGTTATTCCTTGAAGATGCTGAAGATTCATTAGCTATTTAATAAAGATGGGCTGCTGAATAAGAAGCTCAATATGAAGCTTAAACCTTCGAAAGAGAACAATAATTAGAAGTTGTTGAAAGATTATAAGAAGTTCTCACTTAAAAGTTGAGCGCTGCATCAGAATTCCTCCAAATCAGAGAAGAGGTCTTTTGATTATGAAGTCCATTATATTCAATATAAAAATCTTCATAAAATCATTTTATTTAGTTATTACTAATTGCCTGTACATTTTATTATGGATTCTATTAATTTAATTCCTTAAATAGAACATTTGGGTTTGCATTTAAATCATTAGCCACCTTAAGATAATATTTTGACATACTTCACTATGTATTTCTTATTTTAATTATCCCATCATTTATTCTATAGCTAAATTTTATCCAATATCATTATTTTAATTCATCATTCCTGTCATAATATTTCCTTGCACTTACATTTCATCCATAGCCTTTTCAAATTAATTCATATTCTGATAAACCTTCTCTAATGGCATATTTTAGATCTACTATTAATATTTTTTAATACTTATTCATTCATAATTGGACTAATTTTTGCAAGAGCATCAACTAATTTTGTACTATTTGTATTTGTTTTAATGACACCTTATAGATAATCCATTTTGTGTGCCATTTTTTATAGATTTTCAGCTTCCCTTTGTTTATTCATAGCTGAAGTTAAAAACATTTTTGCACCTAGAAGTAATTTAATTAAAAAATACCTTCCTCATTATTTTTCTTTAAAGTTGCTTTTGCTTGATTCATTAATTTTTCTTTCTCTTTTTCACATTTCTTAGATTCATTTGTAAATCTTTTAGATGCCAATTTCATATCCAAAATTGCATCATCAATAGTAGGTTTAGGTGCTTATTCTTTAGGTTAATCGTTTCCCATATTAATTAATAAATTTTTTTTAATGAACACATAGAGCCTTAAAATTAATTTATTCTATAAGTATTTGTAGAATAAATTACATGATTATTCAAAAATGCAATTATAATATTAGATGGCAGTTTTAGATCAAAGAGATTAAAAAAATCTTAATTAATTATATACTATTTCATTTAAGTAATACAATATTTTATTCTATTTCAAGAATCATATACCTTTATTGAATATTATTGAATAATTATATAATAATAACTCTCCTTACACAATTATAAATTATCAAAAATTGTTATATCCAAAAAAACTGGTAATTCTAAGGAATACTGAATTATCATTAATATCTATAAATTTTTTACTCTCCGGTGTTTTATTTTTTATTTTAGCAAAGCATTCCATACAATAATCACTATAACCTTAAGGATTATAAAGACCTCTTTCATTATTTAATACAATATATCTATCTTTTCCATGATTAGTTGATTTTCTACAACCATTACAATTAAATGTATGATTAACTGTAGTGTTCTCTATAGGTTGAATATTCTTGCCAAATCTAAATATATCTATATCTTTCAATTCATTAGCATCAGTTATAGGTGTATTAATAAATACAAGATTATCTTTAATTTCATAATTCAAATTTAATTTGTCTTTCTTTTCACCACATTAACAACAATAAAATAAATCTTTAAAATAATTATAATATTATTTTAAATCCTTATTTAATCTTTATCCACATAAATCACATTTTATACCAGGATATGGAATATCCATAGATAAAATTAAACGTTATTCAGTTGATAATTTATCTGAAGGAATATGAAATAGAAGTGATTGATTAAACTATCTTAATTTATATAATTATTTTTCTCTTATGGTATACTGACAATTAGCAATAAGTTCTTGACACTAATTGGTTTATACATTTAATTCATAAATAAATTAGAGCCTAAATAATATAAATAATTAAATTACTAATTTCCAATTTCTTTTGTTATTATTTTTTGATTAGAAAGATATTCTTCCAATTAATTATAATTTATAGTTTTATTAGTTAATTAATTTTTAAAAGGATGTGTTGCAAATTCAAATGCAATTTTTTTCTCTAATTAATGAAATAAACCCTTTTATCTTATAATTCCATTTTGATCTATAATCATTTAAAAAGGAAAAAGATTGACTTCATATTTTTCTCTAGCCAAAGTAGGAATCACTTTTGAATAATAAAATTCACACTTAGGTTTAAACTTATAAATCAAATCAATATCCTCCTTATTATATTCTATTCCTAAATATATAAATCTTAGTTTTTCTCCATATTATTCTTTCAATTTCTAATAGAAATTCTCTAATTTTATAATAATAAACACACAAGGAATTAACCAAATTAAAACAAGCATTTATTCAGGTTAATGTTAAATTATAATTTCTTAAGCTTCTTTATTATAGAATCCATCTAGAGGTTAAAATTTATCTCCCAAAGTTCTAATAGATTTTAATTAATGAATTAAAATATCTAAATATAATTTTGAATTTTTATCATCTTAAGCTTCTAAAATTGGAGCTATTCCTTAAATAATTTCTTAATATTCTTTTATTGATAAATCTCGATCAAATTTAACTCTTTATTCATACTTTGACTTACAAATAAATGCTTATTTTTTATGTTTCCATTTAATAGCATGTTTTTCCCATTAATATGGAATAATTTAGACTTCAAATTATGATACAAAATCATTTAATATTTCCCTAATTACAACTTATTCTTCTGTTTCATATTTTCTAAATCCTTTTCTAATAATTATATAATTTTGTTCTCCAAGTATTTCTGTTAGATAATTTTTAAATTGCTTAAACAATTCTTTTGATTAATTTTCTAAACTTTAATCAATACTAACTAATATTTTACTTCTATCTACTACTACTTTAGATCCATCTTTAAAGTAATCTTTTTTCTATAGTATTTTTAATTCTACAATATCTTTTTCTGCAAAAAAAGCATTAATCATTTCCAAAACTTCAGTTTAAATTTTTTATTTGAATATTTTATAATCATCTTTAGAATAATTTAAAGTAGGAACAATTTATTATTGTATTTCTTATATTTATTAATCTATAATCTATTTATTATCATTATTAGATTATTTTTATAATATTATTGTAATTTGTTCAAGACTAGTATTTTCAACTACAATAACTTTTTATTCCTTATTCACAATGACAACATGAGGAAATTTAGTAAATTATAATGCTTTCATTTATAAATTAAAAGCAATATGATTAGGATTAAAATGATACGAATTATAGTTTTCTAATTCTAAAATATATTG